GATGGAGTCCAGTACTGGTGTGAAGCCAAGCTAGAACTGGGACCAGAAGGACCACAGCCCCCTCCAGTGGTGAAGTCACAGAACATCACTACTGTGGTCCTCTGTGAGTCAAACTACTGACATTTGTTGTTACATGTTTATGGTGTATCATTGTTACCTATAAGAATGTTTATTTTCCACCTCCGTCCTTAGTTCCTTTCCTGGACAGTCAGTGACAGAAGGGGTGCCCAAATTCTTTCCCTTGGGGGGCCAAAACAGAAACCTAATGGTGGGCCACGGGCCAAAAGCAGAAAAAAAAAAATTAGTGATCCTACACATTTAAAGAGCATTTTTACCTTACAAAAAAACCCCAAACACCACAAACAGCAATTAATGTATAATATGGCAGGCAAACTTTGGCTTCAGGGCCCCACTTTGGGCAATACTGAGTTAGAGAATATTATAGATCCAAGATGAAACTGACAGAATGCAGGACTGAGGGAAAAAGTCACAATTACAAATATACTACTTTAGCACCTCAGACAGTGCCATTGATTAATCCATACATAGCACAGTTGGGCTACTGATATTTCAGAGCCATGGTTGGGGCCATAGCTTCTAACATGCACAAACATTAGTCAGAAAAATTATCAATGAGTCAGACAGACTAGACGTAACCAATTAAATAACCCATCTGACCCTGAACTCTTTCTCCTACTTTCTCTCACCGATTTCCATATGTAAAATATATCAACCTTTCTTTTCTATCAACTGTCTTTTCCTCCTCTACCTCACTCTGACTTATCTTTTTTCTCAGTTGGTCCACAGCTCGTTTGTCCTACAAAACTGCAGGTGAGAGAGGGACAGAGCCTCAGCTGTGAAGTGAGAGGAAACCCTCAACCAGAAGTCTTATGGTTCAGAGATGGGCAGGCGGTTGCCCTGCCCACTCACTCAAGCAGAAAGGATACTGGGAAATACACAGCCGTCACAAGAGGACATCTTGGACTGAAAAACTTTACAGTGGATGTGGAGGTCCTTACTGGCAGTGGTAGGTTTACATCATCTGCATTATCATAAAATTAATTAACACAATTAATGTAAAACAAAGTAAATCAGTGAGAGAATGATAGATAGATTTAACCCTCTTGTTTTTATATTGATAACTTATTACCAATGTTTAAAGTTGAGTATTCTATCCTGAATGTCTGAAAAATTATGCTTTCTGTTATTAATCTTGCATCCTGTATTGGTTGAATTCATTTTTTCTCTTCCTCTTTCTAGGAACTGCAAACAGCTGTAACAGACACCTGTTGGCAGTTTTGCTCATTCAGATAATCAGCTGGCTGTAAAAACTCCTAAAAGAACCCAACCTGATATTCCCATGCTGTCTGGATGAACTGCTCCTGCTGTCAAAAAAAAAAATCTTCATCCGGGTTGACTTATTGCTTTGTTTTCACATGGATCAGATTCACATCAATATATCTGCATCTTCTTTTTCAACACTCCAAAAAAAACAACTGAGTCTCTTTATAAGCAGATGAAAGTTCTCTTTTTGAGTGTGTCTGTCCAGGTACATTTTCTTATGTTAATAAACTGACGTGTCAATATAATCTGCACAAAAGGTAAATTTCATCTTCCAGACTGAAAGCTGCTCAAGAGAGAAATTCACAGTCTAGTTTTGCACAACTTAAACAAACATATTTGTGTGACCGCGTTTCCCCCTTGTTTATTTTAAGATGATTTTTAGGAACTGACTGAATCATTTGCCGAACAACGTGGGTCTTTCCTGTGTTCAGTCTTCTTTCACAGAGGTTATGTTCTGTCTGCTGTACATTAAAATGCTGAACTATCGTGTCCAACAGCAGTACTTCTTGCTTTAGACTTGAACTCATACAACTACGAAATATTGCCACAATGGACCTCATTCTTCATCTTCCTAGTTTTTCTCTTTATTTCGTTTTTTTTACACTTGTTCTTGAGAAAGGTTCAAAGAAATGTCTACGCTAGATAAGACTATTTAGCTCAAAACAAATGGTTATACAATATGCAAGCTCTTTATTATTTATTAATTCAAAGTAAATCATTTACATTTTAAACACATGTTAAAGAGTCATTATCACAGGTAGTACATGTCAAGATCAGAAACAGATAAGGTAGATGTTAATTTCTCTGTTCATTGGTAAAAGTGCCACTTTTCCCCTTCATGGGTCAAACCCATTAGTATTACTTTTACCTTTAGTTTCTTTCCATCTCAGATGATATACTCATACAAACAAGTAAAAATGACAGAAAGCACACAAACTTCATCTGAGAGTCACAGCTTTTGGCTATAGACAAAAAGTTAGATAATTGGGATCCTCACTGCTGTTTGTTAGAATCCCATTATGTGCCCAGTCCGTTTCCAAAGGAACCTGCTCCCATCTAGAAAGAAAATAAATGGATAAAAGACATCATACAGCATTGTTATTGACATCGAAGCTAATTGAAATCTACAAGGTATCAGGCAGCACTTGATATTATATATTAGGAAGATGTCACCAAATATGGATGGTTATATTCTTTAGTAAATAATGTGAAAAAAAAACAAAACAAAAAAACATTCAAGGTCTACAAAATAAAATATTTGGGTTTTATTTGGGCAAAAATAGTATTGTTTGCTTGCTTTGGTTGTGCCATTGTCTTATCTTCTTCAGATGGTTATATTACAAAAACATGAAACACTGAAATATATTGATTTGATTCATTCATTGTTTGAATCTGTCTCTTGTAAGTGACCAAATGTTATGAGTCCAATACTAAATCACAGCACTTTCTGCCAAACTCAGTAAATAACTCAAAGTTTTAACAACAAATAAATAAAACTTACTGTGTGTAAATCTGCAATGTGTTCTCATTGTATAGTAATGTCAGCATCATCAGAGATGATCTGGATTTTGCCAGCATCCATGTGTCTGGCAAAGTCTCCAATCTGCAGCAGCTGGGGCAAAACAACCTGACACACCCCGCTTACTGGGAAACCCACTGGGCTGGACTGAGGAGGAGGAGGAGGAAGGGGAGGACTTTTGGTGTCCACCCCAAAGCTCAAGCGCTGAACTGAATGTTTGTATTTTGCAACAGCTGCTGCTAGGAGCTCCTGGGAAACTGAGAGAGATTGCTCCCGAGCCAGCGCTTGATCAGCAAGGAGATCCAGAAGAGAATGAGTCGGAGTAGATGTGGCATTGACCAGAAGCACGTCTGACTCTGCAGGTATAGAGGAACCACCATCTACTGCCACCCCGTCCCCTGCTGCTGC